TTGACCCCAAGAAAAATATCAAAAAACTTGGGCCACGAACTGGACCTCCTGGCCGCGGCGGCCGAATTGCCCACGGCCGCGGGTGTCATGTAGGCCTACCATGCTTGCTGTTGTGCTTGTTGCACTTGCTGCGCCAGCTGCACCTGAGCTTGCACCTGTTGTCCTTGCTGTGTTTGTTGTGATTGTTGTGCTTGCTGTGCTTGTTGCGCTTGCTTCGCCAGTTGTGCCTTTTGTGCTTGTTGTGCTTGCTGCGCCTGCTTCTGCTGTGTTGGTTGTGACTGCGATGGTTGAGATATATGCGCCTGCTGCCCTAGCTTCGTTGGCTGCATTGGTTGGGTTCGCTGCAACTGTTGTGCCTGCTGGGCCTGCGCCTGTTGTGCTTGTTGCGCATGCCGTGCTTGCTGTGTTTGTTGTACTTGTTGTACTTGTTGTACTTGTTCTGCCTGCTGCGCTTGTTGTACCTATTGAGCCTGTTGTGGCTGTTGTGCTTGCTGTATTTGTTGTGTCCTTTGTGGCTGTCAGACATGTTGGGCTTGCTGGGCCTGGAGGGTCTGCTCATGAAGTGCTTGCGGCCCATGTTGTATTTGATGTGCCCCCTGTGCTTGCGGCAGCCCTTGCTCGGTTGTGCCTGTATCCCCAACACCTCTCTCCCCTGTGGGCCTGTGCCACCTCCCCATTCTGCCCCTGGGCCCACAGGTTCGATGGCCCCATCTGTAATCCCCCGTCCCGCCCTTCCACCACACCCATTTGCGACCCCCGAGTCCCCTGCCCCTTCCCCGTGGCCTCTCCTCGAGTGGATTCAATAGTTCTGGCCCCATTCCCCTCCATCAGCTGCCCTCCTCCTGGCCCCATCTGGGGGAATGTGTCTTGTCTGTGGGTCCCGTCTGGGGGAATGTGTCTTGTCTACATCAGCTCTGACGTATTTTCAAAGTCAACCCTATCTAACCAGCCCTCTAACCACTTAACCTCGCGAGTGCCGGGACACAAAGACTTAGGTAACGAAGACTTGGGTTTAACTGATTAACCCTATTTGCACTGTCTGTGGGGTGCTCCTCGTATTGGAAATCTGACCATACAATCTCCACAGAAATGCTGACTTGGTCATAAACTGGGATCTGATAGGATCACGAAACAGGGCCCTGCTGACTCATTCTGCTGACCCCTCTTGCTAGCTCACCCCACCGGTGACCCGCATCCACGTTAGCTTTGAGGCATTTTCACAATATTTGCACTGTCTGTGGGGTGCTCCTCATATTGGAAATTTGGCCATACAATCTCCACAGAAACGCCGACTTGGCCATAAACTGGGATCTGACAGGATCACGAAACAGGGCCCTGCTGAATCATTCTGCTGACTCCTCCTGCTGGCTCACCCCACCGGTGACCCGCATCCACGTCAACTTTGAGGCATTTTCACGGTCGGCCCTATCTAATCTGCCCTCCAACCACGTGCTTTCGAGAGTGCCGAAACAAACAGGGTCTGCTGACTCATTCTGCTGACTCCTTCAGCTGGCTCACCCCACCGGTGACCCTCCTCCACGTCAGCTTTGAGGCATTTTCACGGTTAGCCCTATCTAATCTGCCCTCTAACCACGTGCTTTCGAGAGTGTTGAAACAAACAAAGTCTTACTGATTCACCCTGCTGGCTCGTCCGGTCCGGGCCAAAAGCCCGGGCCCGAAGGGGGCTGATAAGGGCGATTGTTCAGCGGACCCGTCCCTTTCGGCCCGAGACACACGCTCCCCCATGCCTGAGAAGGATGGGGTGGCAGGTAAAACTGGCGACACATGGAGGGACAAGGTCGCAAAAACAGTTGTGGCCTCCAATGACAGTACACCCCCCACTTCCAGCCGCATTAACAATCTACCGCCACAGTTGCTTAAAGCCTTGTCTGCTCCAGGGGTGAATGACCCTGGAGGGGCTTCGACACTGGCCCCCATGCCTCCACTCAAAAGCCAGCTCATACAGCAGTTGTACATAGAGCTAGAGAGAAAATACCAAGTGAAGGAGGGCTACATTTACCCCCACTCTGTCTTCCCGGCCCAAGCGCTTGCCAAGCGTACTTCGGTCTATTCAAACAAGGCAGTACATTTCCGCTTCCCGACGAGTCTGGCATCTTACCCTGTCAACGAAAAAGTTAAATGGATTTCTGATAGATTGGGGGAAATTAAAACTGATAGCCGACTCGTACAAAACCACTTTCTGATAGAGGTGGAAAGCCCTAACTGTATCACGGTGGTTACGCTCTACACTACAGACAAACACATCATTCTCAAAAGCAAGGGACTACAGTTCAACAACCAGCCGGTCCAGGTCACGGCTTGGTCTCCAGCCAACCCCTTGTCAAGTGATGAAAAGCGGGAATTTCTAATGAACTCTAATTTCTGGGTGGAATTTAGATTTGCACCCCTGTGTGTGCAAGGGGCCATACTGACTGACCTGGAAAACATTGCAAGTGTCAAGGGATACATCACGGATCTGCCCCAATTTATGGGGAGACGGGATGACTCGCTGTTAGTAGCAGTTGATTGGGACCCCAGTTATCCGTTCCCTCTTAATGGAGAATGGATATACTCCCAGGGGGGGAGGGAGCACTCCGTCCCGGTCAGTCACACACAGGACCCATGGTGCTATGCTTGTAAGATCAGTGGTCACCTGTGCACAGATAATGAATGCCCTAACAACCGCAAAAAACGAATTAAGGGCCTTATCATCCCCCACCAGACAGATGAGGAGAGGTGGTTCCCTGAGGAGAATTATCTGGAGGGATGGGAACTCTCAGCATACGCTGACGGAAGACCTACCAAGTGGTTCTGGCATGGAGAGGGACAGCCACAAGCCTTTCCAGCTGGGGCCAAACACATTATCCCAGAAGACCGCAAACAGAAGCAGAGTAAGGGAAAGGAGCCAACACAGGATGGTCCCCGAAACAAATGTCTGCCTCTCCGAAAGACTCAGGGTACAGACCGAGACGAAAACGCCTGGCCAACAACTGGACTCGCCACAAAAAAGTGGCTGCCATCCCAGCCCCCTGTGCCAACCCCCACCCTGGTGGCGACACGCGCAGTAGTGCGCGGATCTTCACACAAATACATACCGAAGCAAAAGTCGGAATTGGCACAGAAGGGCCATGAGCCGCACAAGCCAGCCCCTTCCCCTCTGCTGCCTCAACCCCCAGAGAAGCCCCAACAGGAGCACAAACAGAAACAGGAACAGGTCCTACAACCTGCGACTGATCTAACACAACTGGTTCTGCAGCACTTGCCTGTCCCGCCCCTGCCACTCCCCACAACACAAGACAAACAGGGGGACACAACCCCTGTCCAACAACAGACGTCTCCAGCCCTCCCTCTCACGGTCGTGGTAGGGGATCACGGAGGGCATTTGCCTAAAGGGGAGCATAGACTGGAGCTGAGAAAACCCCCGACCACAGGCACAGGACCCCACAATGACGAAACTGTACCGGTGGTCATAATGGGAGGGGATCAAACAAGTCAGCAGCCCCGGATGCTACAAACTGTTTTTCATGCATCCGGAGCAGCAAATGGTGAGCCTCCAGCCCTCCCTCTCACGGTCGTGGTAGGGGATCAGGGAGGGCAACTGCCTAACAGGCCAAGAATAGCCTCTCATGTGCCAAGTACAGCTAAAGGGGAGCATAGACAGGAGCTGAGACAACCCCCGACCACAGGCACAGGACCCCACAATGAGGAAATTGTACCGATGGTCATAGGGGAAGGGGATCAAACAGGGCAGCATAGACAGGAGCTGAGAAAACCCCCGACCACAGGCACAGGACCCCACAATGAGGAAACTGTACCGGTGGTCATAGGGGAAGGGGATCAAACAGGGCAGCAGCCCCGGATGCTACAAACTGTTTCTCATGCATCCGGAGCAGCAAATGGGGAGCAACGTCCGGAGCTGAGAGCAGGTGCAGCTAAAGGGGAGCAAAGACTGGTGGTGAGAAACCCCCCGGACACAGGCACAGGACCCCACAACGACGGAACTGTCCCGGTGGTCGTCGGGGAAGGGGATCGAAGAGGGCGGCTAAAAGCCCCGGACACACGCACGGAATCCCGTATGAAGGAAATTGTATCGGAGGTCACAGGGGAAAATAAGTTCTCCCTCATTAGATCAGCCGACATTCGATTGGATGGGTCGAGGACGGCGGAAAAAATGACTCGGAACGACAACCGCTCTCAGCGATTACAGCCGGTTACAGCAGCGAGGACCGACGTGGAAACTCATCAGGCTCCCCCCCCCTGACCTCCCGGGCCATCTCTACCAATGCACGCGCCCTGCCCCGATGCAGGCGGTCTGCAACAACCGACGACCACGCTGTTCAGGGTAAACAATGACAGCCACCCCCCCAAACCTCTCTCTCCGCACGGGGTTTGGCTAAAAGCTAACTCCTTGCTCAATAAAATCAAAGGTGCAACCTTCCCACAACATCACCGACCACTGTCGGCTGAACAAAGTGGCGATGGGGGGCCGAACAATGATTGGGCAGTGACGGAATATGAAAGCGGTGGGGGGCCGAACACTGAGCAAGACCCCAAGATCCTCCCATAGACCCTTGACCGACAGACTGAATGCCAACCACCCTCCCCCCCATACCAGCTGCAGCACATAGGGTGTCGACAAACGACCCAGCAACAACAGACGGGGGAGAATGGACAGGGGGACAGATCAGGGAATGCATTTGTCCCGGAACTAGGAGGCTGTGGTACTCCAAACATAGATTCACAGTCCACAACTTGGCTGCAGGCCATCGACCGACAGACTGAAAATCGACCACTCTCCCCTCTCCATCAGCCACAGAACACCGATTGTCGAGGGAGCTCTCTGCAACAGCCAATGGGGGAGACTGGACATGGGGCCGGACCGGGGGGCTTACATGCCGAACAAGGGTACCAGCATCCCCCCGATCTACAACAATACCCCTACCAACAGGGTCACGGTCTGACGAGCCACATACGCCACCATTGGGGGCCCACAGCTCAGCAGCATGAGCTGCTGCAACCGCCTCCCGACCAAATGCCACAAGTTATGCAAGGCCGGCAGTTTGAACTGCTACAACACAGCCGAGACTGCTTGCCGTTGCAAATACCCCAGGAGCCACAACCGCAGCTGCAGCAGCAACAGTTGCTGCAGCAGAGCTCCTTCGACGACCAACTGGGGATGCTACTGCACGCTCAGCTGGCCCAACACCAGAGACAAAACCGACAACAACTCTTGGTGCACCAACAGCAAACGATACAACATCTCCAGTTGCAGTGGCAGCAGCAGCTCTGCCAGCAGCAACAAGAGATATTGCACCAGCAGCAACAACAGTTGCAGGCCTACTGGCACCAGGAACTTGAGAGACAGACGACGATGTAGATGCAACAACAACATCAGAGCCTGCCCGGTCCCCAACATTATTCCTGTACAGCCCTGCCGCTTCAGAGCCAACATGACCCTTCACAACTAGTGCGGGTGCTACAGCACGAAGGGGATGATCCCCAACACATCCATTCAGCTGCACCGTAGTTGCTGGGGAAAGGTCCGCAGCAGATGGATACCTCCGGACCCCAGCAAGATGAAGTGCCGCAAAAATGCCAACACATCCATTCTGCTGCACCGCTGCTGCTGGGGGAAGGTCCGCAGCACATGGATACCTCCGGACCCCCGCAAGATGAAGTGGCGCAAAAATGTCAGCCCGCCCCAGATGATGTGGACATGGAAACAGTGCTGACGATCGCTAATGATGAAGAGGTAAAACACAAACCGTGCTTCCTAACAGAATGGACACTGATGAAAATATTCTCGTTGACTGATGACAACCCGGCAGGCAAGCTGAAACTGGGACACTGGGAAGATGCAAAAACGGTTCTCATGCACAGCCCGAGAATCCTGGCCGCAGTGGAAAAACACGATGTAGTCACAGACATAGATTGGATGGAGGTGGGAGCGGCTATTGTTTTTGTGGTTAATGAATTCCTAGACAAGCTTGAGCTCTTTGCTAAGGCCCGACCCCCACTGCAGGATGCTGCCATCCGCCAGGAGCAAACGTTCCTCCACGAAGGCCTTGCATGGCCCGTGTCCCTAGTGCAGGAGTTGTGTAACACACTCTATTCAACCGGACCTCGGTTGGGTCAGCCACCACAGTCTCACCTTGAGGGTGCCTCTCAACCACAAATTCAAGAAGCCCCCTGTCGACAACTGCTCCCTGCAGACATGCAGCAGTCTCATTCTTCACAGTTGCTGCCCAACCACAAACAAGACCTGGAACTGGCCCCGCGGAAGCCGCCTGCCCCGCCCCCTTCTCGGCACAGGCTTCATCATGCGGACATACTACTTGACGATGAGGATATGCCACAACAGGTGTCCAAACCAGACTCACTCTCATCACCGACAGTGCAGCCGTTAAAACTGAAAGATGTGGTGAGACTCGAAGAGGATGACAGTACCCCTGTGGCGATCCCCCCGGGAGTGGTTCTGTTCCCTTTGACCAGGACGGGTACAGAAGGTGAATGGCTCCTAGGACTTAGACCGCCCCAACACCACCCAAAACAATCTGAGGATCAACCAGGGCTTTCTTTGGATGGGTGGAGGGGAAATCCCTCCACAGCAGTCATTCTCAAAAGACTGAAGTACTGGCGCAAGGACACGTCTACGGAAGGGATAATTGGTGCAGTCATTCCCAACTCCTTATCCTTCCCCAAAGGAATCATTCCGGTGATCCTGCTCGTTGACTCCGCTGCTGTCAATCACTCCAAAGGCTCTAACTTCCAATGGTTTACTAACCGACAGCTGATGCATCTCCCAACAACTCAGATTCGAATGAGCTATGCTTGGACAGTAAGCAGGGTCACCCTTTTCTTACAAATCTTCCTAGAGGACAACGTCCTGGAAGAACACCATCAATGGGATGACCCTCCCTTCATCCTCCCTATTAAACACAAAGATTAAACATGCACACATCTACAATGTTGACGCCTGATCCGATGGAAAGCACTGTTGCACAGCAACATAACAGCCGCTCCCCTCGCCTCCCTTCCGCCACTCCACAACGCACTCATCACATACCCCCACAACAATCCATGCAACGCCCACCATCCCCCCCTGTTTTCCCCCGGATTAGAAAGCAACCTCAATGGGCAGCAAAGCTTAGCAGAGCAGATCTTGATATTCGATCATTGAACGTTAATGGTCTCATCCAGGCTTCCCCTGCCAAAAAGGGAGCTATATGGAACCAACTTAAAAACCCTGACATGATCAACTGGCTAGATGTCATTTGTGTGCAGGAGACACATCTCCAGGATACGCCACCCCATAATGCTAAGGCACGAGCAATCTGGTCGTACACATCTTTCGTTGCGCCGGCCAAAGAAAGGGCGTCGGCAGGGGTGGCAATTTGGCTGCCACCCTCCACGAGACTTACACCCATACAGTACGACTACGACAAACAACACGGTAGATGGGTGTACCTTAAAGTGGCTCTCCAAGTGGACGTCTTTTACCTCGTATGTGTCTACGTGCCTAACGACCCGGTGGCCTGGCTGGACCTATGGCTCACTCTTCATCAACACCTACCGGATGATGCCCCGATGATAATGGCGGGGGACTTCAATACCACCTTGTGTCCATATCTGGATCGGCGGTCGACGTCGCAACAGACACGGACGATAGGGGCCTCGCCGGTCCAAACTGCACCAGATGTCATAGTGTTTAAACAACTCATGCTCGACAGACAACTGGAAGATGCTTATAGGGTGCTCCATCCAACTCAAAAGGCCTATACCTATCTGTCTTCTAGAGGGCAGGTAGGACTGGCCAACTCCAGAATCGACCTTATATTAGTGTCTAAGGATCTTGCGGGACTTATTATTGCTGCTGATATTGCAGCCATCAGTCCATGCAACTCCTTTGACCATAGGATGGTCACCCTGGGATTGTCATTTCACAATCACATCCACAGGGGTCCGGGGTTTTATAAGTTTAACACCTTTCTCCCCCTGCCCAAGTTCAAAGATATGATTGAATCTTTCTGGCGGTACTGGCAATCTAAGAAACCAGCCACAGGGGAGAGGGTGTCTTGGTTCAATGAAGGTATGGCGCAACTCAGGGAACGAAGCAAGAAATTATCTACCCAGTACGCCAGAGACCGTAAGGCAGTTCTAGATAGACTCATGCGCGAGCTGGAGGAATGGGACGACCAAATTATGGGAGATCCCATTCACCAGCCCACCTACGATGAACTGCAAAAGGCAAGGGACCACCTTCAAACTTACATCGACCAACAAACTCAAGCATGGAGGATTCAGGCGCGAATAAAGAAGGACCACACAGATGGAACAATGGCAAAAACCTTCTTTAACAGAGCAAAAGCACGCTCGAGAGCCAACACAGTCCCGAGACTAAAGCACCCGTTCGATGACAATGCCCCTACCGCAACTAATTCGTATGCGATTGTGGACTACGCTTCAAAATGCTACCAAAAGTTGTTCACTTCGGAAACCTCCCTAAAACCCCCGGATGCAGTCCTACAGGCAAGACAATAACTCCTACAATCGCTCCAATCACGACTTACACTCCCCCAGAGAGCCGAACTGGACCGGCCAATTACGTTAGAGGACGTAAAGGAAGCCCTGCAAGATATGGAAGATGAGAAAACACCGGGGGTGGATTCCTTTCCCAAGGAGTTCTGGGTGCGGTTTTGGGAGCTGTTGAGTGACGACCTTATTGAGTACATACGAGCGGTGCAGGAGGAGGGATCCCTGGGGGGCATGATGGGGCAAGGAGTTACCACCCTCCTCTACAAAAAAGGGGATAAGGAGAACATACGAAACTATAGGCCTATCACACTCCTCCCGGTCCCCTACAAAATTATAGCTAAGACACTCACTAACAGATTGTTGTCACTGATGCACCTGCTCATTCACCCGGATCAGACGGGGTTCATGCCCAATCGCAACATTCAGGACAATGTCCTGTTAGTCAACGAGACCATCAAATACGCCAAGCAGCATAAAATCCAAGCAGCAGTACTCTTTATTGACTTTGAGAAGGCCTATGATCACGTTGACTGGGATTTTCTCGATCTGTGCCTCACGAGGATGAACTTCGGGCTTGTGTTCAGCAAGTGGATACAACTCTTTCATAGATCAGCCTCGACTAATATCATGTTGAATGGCCACCTTGCGGCCCCAATCCCCCTTCAACGATCGGTGCGTCAAGGGGATCCTATAGCGCCCCTGCTCTTTGTCATTGTTATGGAGACTCTCGCGTCTCTTATTAGAGCTCACCCACACATACACAGAGTCCCCATCCCAGATCTGCCAAAACATCTGGTCCCGGTAACATCGCTCTTTGCAGATGATCTCATAGTGCTTTTTAGGGCGGATGACCAGAGCCTTGAGGCCTTGACACAAGTCATCCACTTGTTTTCACTAGCGGCGGACATGAAGGTGAACTGGGGAGCAAAAACGGAAGGGTGGTGGAAGCACCCGCTAGACATAGGGCCGCCGCCACAGCCACTGATTTCATGGGCACAAAGGGACACAGCAATTAGAATATTGGGCGTTAAACTGACGGCGCTTGGCCCCCCCCAGACCACGGCGATGCCTTGGTGGATCTTGTTGTGGACAGATTAAGCAAGTGGGCTGGCCTGCACACCTCACTTGTGGGGCGTGCACTGGCCATCAACAATGTCGTTCTCGCAGCAATCTGGTATAAACTTGCAGTATGGCCCCTCAACCGAAAACAATATGCAAGGCTTAGAAAAGCACTTACGACCTATCTGTGGAAAAACAGAGCAGAATCTCAAAGCTGYATGAATCRGGTTAAATGGGACGTGCTGACACAACCAAGAGCAAAGGGAGGACTGGGAATATTGGATCCGGAACGGGAAAGCGAGRCCCTTATTTTCAAAGTGGTCATCAGACTCCTCACAGGCAATGACATACCCTGGGCGCCATTGGCCTGCGTGCAGATCAAACACCTCGCGCCGGTGACAGTAACCCCGGACCAGATACACCCCTTCCAATGGTTGACAAATTCTCATTGGACTGTTCCGTCCGCCTCCCATCAATCACAAGTGGAGACACCGGAACAGGCCACCAAACAAGACATTGCCAGGGACCCCATGTGGCCGAATATGATTAAGCTTTAGAGACGGGTGGGACCAACACAAAAACGCCCCCCGAACAGGTGGCATGACATATGGAGGCAACCCGTATTTGGTAACCCCCATATTGTGGACAGTGCAGGCAATCCCTTCCCGCTCACAACGAACTCCCCCTGGCTGTCCTGGGTCAAAAAAGGCATATATACAATTGGCAGCCTCTGGGACGTCCGCACAAGGAACTGGATATCCGCAGCCCAGCTTCAAAAGCAAATAAAATATGTCAAAAACGTAGAGGAGAAACTGCGCACTCTGCGAGAAGCCGTGCCACTGGCCTGGCAACTGACACCTAAGAATGGCCCGACCATTCAAAATGGAGACTGGGTGAGTAAATATTCTGATTTGCCCGTACCACGTGCTGTCTATAGAGTACATAACGGTAACTCCTAGGCCTGCAACCTTGAAGCCCATGAACCCCTCTTCCCGGGGGCAAGGATGTCAAAGCTCATACGTAATGATGAAATCGACTGCAATTGCAACCGAGCGGATCTGGTACTTGTACGTGTGGTGGGGAATCCGGAAGACGGTCTCTTTGTCTATGAACCGTCCACACCGATTGCAACCCTGCCCTTCGACCCAGGGGAATGGGAACGGCCTGGGGAGAAGCCTATGCATGTCTGGGATTATTCGGTAAAAAGGGGTTACAAAACCTCAAACCCTGACGTTCCCACTGCCCAGATCATAACTGATCGATGGGCAAGGGACTCACCTATGGACTCGACCCAGTTGCACACTCTGCCATGGTCGTCATATGCAAAGATTATGCCCATAAACCTTCGGTCCCTGCAATGGCAAATCATACACCACTGTCTCCCCACACCGGACTGGTTGGTATCAAGAACAGATCTGGAGCAGAAAGGCCAGCTGTCTCCTATTTGTGCCTATTGCTCACGAACGGGCCCGCCTGCCAGAGCGACGCTTGAACACTGTCTCCTAGCGTGCCCGATGGTTGCCCAGCTGTGGTGCTGGTGGGACGCCGCCTTTCATTATTTGGCGACGTTCCGCATCCCATGGGAACTGGGGCTCCTGTTGCTGGGGGAGAAGAGGCATGTGCCAGCTCACTGGTCCCCCTCTGCAGCTAACCTGTTCTCATACACACGGCTGCATATTCTAATGCTCGCCTAGCGCGCTAGGTGCTCCTTTGAAAGGAAGGACCATCAGTTCGGTCTGCAGCAAGCCCAGCAGGCTACCGAAGAGGTGATTAGATCCCGCACCTGGGAGGCGTGGAAAACCATGATGCAAGACTACTGCAACGAAATCGAACCGCAGGCCAAACGGACCATTTATGACTCCTACATCCAAATCTGGCAGGACCCCCACAAGAGGTTCAAC